AAAGTACTTTAAAGTGTATAAATAAGTTCCCGGTCAATTGATTTACATCAGCCAATCAGACGAATGTCCTCCTATGAATTGGGGTTGGGATTTTCATCCAAAATAGGGGTTGTTTAGAACGGGGCATAATTACATGAAAAGAACCAACCAAGTTAGATATTTGATAAACCTAATGACTACGCAAATTATAATCAGGTTATGAAATTGAATTACGGTTTATTACTTAGCAACACTTAAACAAAATATTTAGTGTTACTGGCTTAATGATATTTAATAAGATATTTATGCGATGTTGCCATGAAAGACTAGAAATAGAAGATAGATTGCAATAAAGTTGCAGATAAAATTACAGTATCTGTAAGTTATATTATTAGTATAATCAATGCTAAATTTTAAATACAGTAAAAGGAATTATTGTAATATCTGTTTAAACCAATTTTTTTATTTTAGAGCATATGTTGTATTTTTTGTTTAAATGATTCTAACTTATAATTTATTTATATAATTTTTTAGTAAATTATGCTAGGAATAGAAATTTGGTTTTATTTAAACAATTAAATATAGATTTTAAAATATATTATTAGTAACCTAATTGGTTTAAATTAGCGTTTGACATTATATAGCTTACTATAGTTCTTATAAACATTTTATAAAATTTCAAATTATTATTAAAAACATTTTAATTAATTTCATGATTTAATTTACTAAATACTAATATATTTACAGTATAAAGATTATTAGGAATGTAACATGCTTTATAGCATGTTTAACCAATTTATTGTTATAGTTAAAGTTACAAATAGCTAAAAATAGAATTTAGAAATCTTATTTTAAAAATATAAACTTAAGCAAAATCTACTTCTACTTGTTTATTATAAAAAATAACTTTAAATTCTAACTAGTTATTTAAAAAAAGCCAAAAAATATATTTTAAAAATTTTTAAAAATTTTATTTAAATAGTTAAAATTTTAGCTTTAGCTATATATAAAATTTATTCTACCGCATAAGCGCGTAATAACGCGCCTCTGTGCGTTAGTTCAAGCCCTTGCGCATTATTTCGGGACGCTCATGCGCGATAATTCGAATCATTATGCTAATTTTGAAAAAAAAATTTCAACTATTAAGAACTTTCTTGAGACATCATAATAGAATTAGAAAAGAGATACAGTACTTCGTTTTTTTTGAGATAAGACAACACAAGGCGAATAAATTCTGGATATATTTTTAATCATATTTAATCCTATGATAATAAATAGATTTCAAATTTAGAGGTTGAACTTAAGCTTATTATATTCAAATTTATTCAAAGACTCAAAGAGCACGTGAAAGATAACTTTGTACATATGGGGCGCGTTATTTGAGACGCGCATGGGCGTTATTTTGAGTTAAATATACCATTTTTAAAAAAATTGAAATTTCGAAATAACGCCCATGTGCGTTATTCGCGCTTATACGGTATATTATTTTTAATAATTTGTAATTACTATTTAAATAGTAATAAAAAATCAAATAAAAATTTAAAATAAAAAATTTAAAAATAAATTTTTTACTATTATGTGGTAATTTTTTAAACTAATATTTTTATATCTTTTTTTGATATTTTTACATCTCCATATAAATTATTTTTTTTAAACCTTTTGATTAATTAAAGATATCTTGGCAACCATCTAACTAAATTTGATAAACTTTTTTATTTAAATATTATAAATCCATAGAATTCAATTAAAAAATTATCAAATTTGATTGGATAGTTATTAAGATATTTTCAATTATATAGCTAATATTCTGACAAATATTTAAAAGCTTCTTAAAATTTGATTTAAGTATTTTAACAACTAACAAAATTTTAAAAAAATTCCATCGAGTCTTTGCCGCGGTTCTATCATGACGGTTTAAAACTTTCCAAAACTTTTATCAAAAATAACTCGGCACCCATCTGACCGATTTTGATAAAATTATTTTAATTCTGCTAAAAAATTTTATTGATTTGCTAAAGAATTTACGTTTGGTCTATAATACGATGATTTTCTGCGTTCACGGAAAAATCACGGAATTGGTTCAGATCATTTTAAAATCCTGGCCTGGATTTAGGATCTAAAGTCATCATAATGCTGGCTGACATTAATTTGGCCAGAGTTTGCGGATTATAATGCTGGTCGACTTTAAGTAATTCGGGCCAATCGCAGAATTTTTGCAGAATCATCTTTTATCACGGCATTTTGTCGCTCGTATTTGCGTTATTTCGAGACCCTGCGCGTTATTTTGGGACGCGCACGCGCGATAATTCGAATAATTTTGACGAATGAGTTATCAGAGGAAATACTGCTTTTTTTAATGAAAATTTCTGTCATAATATGCAATATGGTATATTTAAGGGGGCGCGTTATTTTGAGATCAAAAAAACAATTTTCTAAAAAATGGGAATGTCGAAATAACAGACATGTACGTTATTACGCGCAAATATGGTAATAACACCAATAAATTTCGATAAAAATTTACTATTAAATGGTATGATTGGCTATTAGTTTAGCCTTATTAATACCAAAGTTCTCATGAAAAACTTGTTCGTGTGCAAAAGGCAGCTTCGTGGTAAAATTTTGAGTTGTTTCGTTTTTGCAAGAGGGTAGTTTAAAATTATGTACACAAGTGAGACCAAGAGTCAATAAAATCGTGAGATTAGATCAATAGCAACGAAGGGAGAACAATGAAAAAAAAGTGAAGACCGAAAAACATGAAAAATGAACGTCTAAACCTATTTCAGGGCACTAATAAAATGTTGGGATAATTTCACCGACAGTATATCACTATTTCCACTCCTCACCTCAAAATTCTAATTTAATTGAAAGTAAGTTATTACAAGTGCACACGTCCCACAAAATTAGATAAGTGAACAAACTTTTTTTATTTTAAATTCAAACTTTTCTAAATACAAAAATGAAATAAATTATATATGAAAAATTTTCCAAAAATCGAGAAATGGATTTTGTTGGCCTAATAAAATAATTTTTTTCACTATTAATGGTGAAGTTCAGATTGCCCTGTTGGAAGATATCGACATAAATATTTAATTTCGGCCTCCAAATCCTAAAAAATAGAGTTGACATTTAGTTTAATATATAGCATGTAATTAAAAAAAAAAAAGGACAAACCTTGCAGTACTCGTCCAATGGTAAGTCATTTTTATCAAAGCCTAAAGTAGTAAAATTAAAAATAATTCAAACCAAAAAAAAAGTTACGGCTCAAGTTTAGTGTTTCGGGCTAAATTACTTTCTAAAATTCGAAATATTCACTATTAAAAAATAATTTCGCCAGGAGAAATGACATCTGTTTTCATAAATTCTTGGACACTTAAAAATTCACTCGTAATCCGAAACATCTTCGATCCCGTTCTAAGAATCACTTAACTTTTCGGAAATTTGTCACTGCCTCTCAAGGTCGAGGAGGTTCAGGAAACGAGTAAATATTTTAAATGTCCCATAATTTATGAAAACAACTGCAAAGTCCGAAACATTTCGCCAGTGCGAAAGAATTTCTCCTTGAGAAATGTTTCGGATTCACACGAAACACTAACTTAAGTACACAATATTATAGCTTACCAAACGGATCTTCAATTTCAGAACCTATTCACATGAGGTATTATGTTAGAATTTACATACGATAATGATAAAAGACGATATCCGATCTACTAAATCTACTCACCAATTGCTTCAACACCAAAAAGAATAAAGGAAATTATAAAGATAACTGGAATAGTAAACCATCCAAGTATATCGACAAGAGTGAATGGAAGTACCCAAACATACCTATTATTAAAAAAAAGGTGCAAATATTAGTATCATGGAATGAATGAAAAAGAAAATAAAGCTTTATATAAAAAGGATCATGACTTACAAAGTTACAGCTTGTTTTCTAAAATAATAAATATTTAAGATATTAATTAAAGGATAAATTTACATTTATAAAGAATCTAATATTTCTTACAAATGAATTCTGTAGGCTGCAGGAATCGGTGTGTTACTAATCCTCTCAAGATTGCCCAAAATATCAATTAACTGGTCCAAAGCTACATAAAGCCTATAAGCGAGTTCGAGTTTTTTTTCACGTCCCACTTGATCGAAATATGTACCCAGATGAAATACAATTTCCTATAATTCATAAAGTCACAATGATGAAAAAATTGAAACAATTGCAAAAAAGAAAAAAAAAAAAGGGGGTAAAATTCACCATTGGAAGACTCATTTGTGGGTCTGCAGTTCCCCAACTCACGTCAATGTCATAACTGTCTCGGTGATTACCTACAAGCGAGCGAAAAGTGTCTTTTATATATGAAACTGGATGTTGGGGCTTTTGGAGAAGGTGAGTAGACTCGGTCGCTTCTGAAGGGTGGATAGTTACATCCGGATCAGCAGTTTCCGGATTGTTAGCAATATTATCAGGGTGATTCGGATCCTCCATGCTTCCACTGCCTAAATCTGTATTTTCTTGGCCAGCGTTACCCTCAAACTTTGTACGTTGATAACCTCTCGGTAACAAACCCTCAAAATCTTTATAATTAGTGCCAAACTCCAAACGAAGATGATGTTTAGTGGCAATAACAAATGCTAACAAAAGCTTAATATAGGTTTCTTTGTCTTCATGATCTCTCTTTGTCCTTTCTTCAACATCGACCCAAATAATTCGCGCGGTATTTCTTGCAAGGGTACTATGATATTGTATAGTAATTAAGTGTAATTGTCACATTAATATACAAATTTTCGACATACAAGTTTTTGAATTATTTGCACGTACCATAAACTACCAAATAATTTTCGACCTTCGTAATATCTATCATAAGCATGATTTGTACGAAAAGCCAGAAGAAGACCGACCACAACCGAAACAGTACCGACTAAATGAATATCAGTAAATACTTTTTCTTTCTTAATTTACTTGAGTGCTGTCAAGGGAAAAACTGTAAGCACAAGTTTAAAATTTCACAGTATCGGACTTAAGCTCAGAAATTGGGATAGATTATGTAATTGAAACAGATTATGATAAATGCTCTAATCTTTTCGATAATATTTTGAACGTATTTGTGTACCAAAACGACCAGAATACAGATTAAATTACGTAATCTTTTAGAAGTCCGATACGGTAAATTCAAAAAGTTTCCAGGTTTTCCCTTGACAGCAACCCACTTGTATTAGGGATATAAGGATATTAGCTCCTACCCAAGCTTCCCGGTAAAGTTAAGTCGATATCGTACACAATGAATAATGCACATATTATGGAAGTGAATATCGTTGAAAACGTAAGTATCGGGATGATGGTTGTAAACACCTAAATTAATATGTATGCGTTAGTTTATTTAAATTAATAATATATAGATTAGAATTATACCGTAGGATTAATACTTACAGAACTTCTACAGTGCAAAATGTCTAAATTTCAACAAATACAAATTCAGTTAAATAGAATAAGAAATTTATCGAAAAAAAAAAAAATTTACCTGGTTTTCCCCACCCACGTTGACGCGTTATTCTTTTAAAAAATGATTGACCTTGGGGGGAATTTTTTGAATCCGACATATTAAATTTTTGGATTCCACGAAATTCTCAAATGAACATAAATTGAGCAAAATGTACTGTACGTACGGCGTTTCCTTTATTTATATAAAAAAAAGTCTAAACTAATAGATGCACGAAAAACAATTATGTGCATCTCCATAAAATGCAAATAAAAACGCAACATATCGAAATTTGGTCGAGAAAAAAGCTTCAATTATTTGTGAAACAAACTAATAAAAGGAGGAAATTTTGGTCAGCCCAGTGAGAAAACTAATCTTTAAATCAGTTTTACCAAAAATGTTGTAAATAAAATTCTACATCTCTAAAGCCCTTGCTTTAGATCAAGCCTGTCAAAAACTGATAACCATGTTCTAATTTGATGCACTGATTTTCTATAGATAGCTAATCAATTATATCGACGATCTAATGCCCACGAAACAGATTAACCGAATTAGACTCGTCAAATGATTATCGTTATTTATATGGAAAAATTAACTGCCAAATATTAGGTAATACCTGCATGGCGTATACTTATTATCGTCTCTTGTTCTAGCGATGTCATGACGATCGAAATTCGTCAGTAAAAATTGTTTTAGCGCAATATCAATTGTCATAACTTGAAAAAATTCGACCATAAAGTTTTACCTTGAGAAAATATAAGAGAAATAAATACAGTATATAATTACCGCACCGTTCCAAAATTAAGCACCCTTTTTTGTATGTAATGCAGGTCAAAATTGGCGTAGTACGGGCCAGGAGTGCTTATCTGTTATTTTCGGGGGTGCTTAATTTTCATTATGCATTTCCTTGGACATATTGTACAAACTAACAATCTTTAAATTTTATGTAGTCATCCTCTTCTTCAATTACCTAATTTGTTGCAAAACTGGTGATTACGTATAAGATTATTGTAATTCCGTATCATATATGCATATTAATATATATATATTAAGTCTAGGACTTCAAGGACTTTCGGACAGACATTTTTGAGACTGCTTCCAAAAATATGGACGTTTTGTATTAATCTCAACCGAAAATCATCTGCTAAGTACGTAATATTACATTAACCAATAATATCATTGGTTTATACGTACGGATATGGGTTGAACTCAGCCCAAAATTTTATTACGTCATATATAAAATTGGTCCGGGTTCAAAAATAATTACCCATATATTTGTTATTTGAAAAATTAGGGCATCCAAAAGTGTGCTCAAATTTTTAGAACAGCCCGAAAACCAAACATAATATATATATAATTTAAGTGTAGAAGGTACAATTTTACAAATTATATATAAAACTATATACTGTATTATACAGTAATAGTAAAAAAAAAAATTTTAAAATTACAAAAAATTTTATTTTTACATTTAAAGATTAGGTATTATAAATCGGTTATACTAAAACGCGCACTGGTGTTCAACCACAATGATTTTGTATAACATAAAAATCAATTAAATATTAAACTAGTAGTTATAGGTTAGAATAAAAACATATATATATATATATATAGTATATATATAGTAAAATTTTGCAAAGAATTTTCTAATGTTACACAACAGCTATATAATTTAATTGGTGGAAATCGTTGTGGTGTTATAGATTGTTTATAAAAATTGAGATTATATTATATAAGCTAATCAAAGTGTTAGAGTTAGTATGAATCTACTAATTTTTAACTATGCTAATTAATATCTTCAGTTTAAATTTTATATCTAACAAGACAGATTGAATAGTAAAAAAAAAAAGATTTATCAAAGATCTAAAAAAAAATTTCAACTAAAATACTTTTTTTTTTATTTTTAGAACAAATTTAAGATTGTATTATCTGTCGAAATTGTCATCTTTAGCAGGTTCTAAATACTACTCAAGTGTTTGTTTTTATCTTTAGTTATGCTGTATTATTTTTATAACAGAATCCAAGGCTACCTATTAGAATTGTCATCAATAAATTTAAATACTACACAAATACTTTTTTTATTTTATCTACTATACCGCCATTAGAATTAACACCTTTGGCAGATTTCAGCAACTACTTAATTGCTTTTTTATTTTAAGCTGTGCCTACAACATTTTTGTAGCACAGGCTCAAATTCATTCCCTCGTCGATATCCAGTTCTTGATGGAATATCTTATGATAAAAAAATGCATTAAATTAAGGGCATCATGTTTCGATCTTATTTAAATGTTCTTAAAGGTATGAGATTAATGTTACAATCATTGGTTAATTGTTACTTGACTATGCTACAACATCTTCGTTTGATATATGAGCTCTGAAGATCGGCTCGAAACTATCGTGGATATTTGCAGAAAGTACTTGAACATTATGGCAAACCCTTGAATTAATTGAGGCTTTATAGCAAAACCCCTTATATTCTGCATTAAATAGGACAACACTGTCTAAATCTGAACAACTTAATCTTTCCGTTCATGACTTTGAATCTTTTATTCAAGTTGAAATATTTAAAGAAATTGATCATCGAAGCGTGGAACAGAGTATATTGCGCTGATGAGTTCTTTCCAAAACAATACCTCGAGTAATTTTGAAATATGTTGAATAATAAATAATGAGACCATTGAAAATTTCTCAAAAATACATTAATATATCAGATCATATAAATTCCTTTACATACTACTGTAAAGATCAGGCCTACCGAATAATTGATTGTGGGGGCAATTAATTGCAATTATTCGAACTCAATTAATTGATTGGTGGCGCA